CAGTATAATTGAAGACAACAAACCTAATTAGTAATTTTATCACGAAGAAACCTAAGCAAAAGGACTCAATGCAGAGACATTTTCTTAGATAAAGTTATGATGTACTTGGAACCGAAAAAAAAACGAAATGCTACTCGTTTAATAATAAACTGAAAATAGTTTGCAAAAAATATATATCTAAAGTCGAAACAAAATCAAACCCCATCACGACACGACAAATTGATGTCATCCATCCCGCTCTCGCTAACAGTCGCAACATATCACCCGACGTACGTCCTCGACATTTTTCCTCTATATATTATTAATACATAAGTATAATCTGGTGCACTCTTCTAACGTTTGCGATCCGCATAAAGGCGTCTCGTTTCATATTGTTGGGTCTAGTTTTCCCAAGCGACCGAACCTCGAGGGTAAAACTCCCTGGGGTCGGTATTGACTCTACTATGGAAGGAAAGTTATCTGTACACCTATTGTCGGCCACCCCCTGTTTCCCCATCCTTATTTTCCACCCGGTCGCCTTACGACTTTCTTATGCGTTTTACGTTTTATTCTGTAGGCTTAGAAAGTTATTTTTCAATATTTTTGCGTTAAGGTTCAATATCGATAATGTATAGGAGGAATACCGGCAGACATTTCGAGACGTTACCAAGTAAACTATTTGCACGTGGAATTTGGATGCAGACATTGAACCTAAGTCACGGTATCATCTCCTTGTAATCAACGTGTTACAATTTTACGATGTTGATTCGAAATCTAATTGTAAGAATCTAATTTATTTCCAAGTTCTGAAAAAATGATGGGAATCACGTATGTGTCGGATTCTTATAAAATTTTAATTATATTTGTAAGGTTAAATAAAACATTATTGGACTTTTTTTTTTAAATCTGAAATTGGAACTATTCTGTTATTTCTGGTAAGAATAGTCTGGGATTTTCGGTAAAAAAATTTTTTTAGACGATTCTTTTATCGCATTCCTATATGTAACACAAAATTTGGCTCTAGAATAAACTTCGCTTCTCTTTGTTTTCCGAGTGCTTTTTCAACCGAGATTTGAAAAAAGTCCATAACAGTAAGAAGCAGCTTGTATACCTGGATGACAAGGCTGATGTCCATGGATGGACAGGGACCACTCTAGACCAGATACTTCGTGTGCTCCCCTGTTTTTAATGTCATTCAAACCATTACGTATGTAGTTGTATTATGGATTATTGGAATGACGTATTGGAAGTACACAGGGTCGGAACAATTGCCCGGCACATTTCTGCCGCGAAGCTGTTTGCATTCCGTCTTGTAGTTTAGGATCGCTATCGCTCTAACGACATAGATTTCAGTCTCGTGTCGCAAGGCCTTAAGCTCGTCTGCCGATTTAAGCCGCGCAAAAAAATTCGGTCATAAAACAAAATTGGAGAGCCACTCAAATTTCTTAAAAAAAAAACCAATCAGTAATGCGATCCTCCCTCACTTAATACGATTTAAGGCTGGTTGTACACCGGACGCTAATTTGGTAATGTGCGACTTCGGCACGCGACAGCCACGTGACCCGCGACCGCCACGCGACAGATTGACGGCACCGGACGATTTGTTCACTTAACTTGTTTATCTTAAAAGACAGCCAAACAGTGAACTGAACTCGTACTAAGAATAATCGCAAAAACATCTAACATTTTTAGAATGTGGCATGTAGTTTTAAAATTCAAATCACTATTAGCGAAAACTGTGGTAAAAGCTTTGATTTAATGCATATTTTTAAAGTATAATACAATTAACGTTTTTCAAGTTCTTCTTCTTTTTTCTCTACTTTATCCCACTAGGTGGGTTCGGCACAGGGTATTATTCTATTCCATTCTCTTCTATCAACAGTCAGCTCAACACTCACTCCTCTCTCTCATATAGTCATTCACACACTCCATCCATGTCTCCTTCAGTCGACTTCTTCCCCATCTACCTCGCACTACCATTTCCATACATCTCCTAATCACACGCATCTCCTCTCTACGTATCACATGTCCATACCACGCTAACTGTCCGCTCTTTTATTTTTTAATTCCTAATCTAGTCTTTTCTTATCACTCCACACATCCATGTTGAGCATTCGCATCTTTGCTGCTTTTCAATTTAACAGTATTAAAACAAAAAAAAACTATTTTCTATTCTATCAGCCCACATATCCACTATTCTATCAGTCCACTGCTGCACATAGGGCTCTACCAAACCTCACCACAACGATCCTGCGTTGCTTGCATGGAGCAAATCAAATAACTATGGACCCAATTAATTTGCATTCACAATCTTACGTTATGCAAACGCACACCTTAAAAAGATTATTCTAAATATGTAACAAACAATGCGTTGTGTCGCGACGACCGGACGGACGCGTGCGGGAGACACAAGCACGTGCCCCGCACACGACGACAAACGAGGTCGGTCGACTAGTCGTTCATTTGGATTATTGTATCGCAATCAACTTAGACAAAGTGGTTCGTGTACCGGCAGCCTTCTACGAGATTGAATATCAATTTAACTGAAATCATCATTTTACTTAGCTTATTAGAAGCTAGAATTTAATATTACGTATTGTGATATTTTAGCGTACTTATAATACTTTTACTTACCTGTTTTCAGACAATGCGATTTAAACCTATTTGGAAAAAAAAATATGACTTTATTAAATTCTTTTCTTGATTTTACTTTTACTTATTTGCGGGCCGGAGGTCGAATCTCCTGTAACATTCTTAACCTGCCCAGCCTTGAAAATGAAAAAAAGCATGAATGGGAAAATTATGAGTTTAGTCGTAAATCCAAGCTATTTAGAAAACCTGCGATTTGCCACCTACCGGGTCCAAATATGAATCTAAAAAAACACTAAAATCCTTCGCTTTGGAAGAGCTATACCCACACAGTACCAACGCACGTCTAAAATAATTATGTAGTACATATATAAAAACGCACCAGCCCACAAGAAGGTTCGCATACCCGATCCTGTGGACCGAATAGTAAACAGTCGACGTCGCCCTAAGCACATAATTACAGATCCTCCCGATTGATTGACGGTGCCTTTAGGTGCCTCAAGCACCGGTCACCGTCCTCGCCGAGAGCGTGGCTTGCGACGAAGGGCTCGACGAGAAAATTAACCCACAGACACAGCCCACTGAGTTTCTAGCCGAATCTTCTCAGTGGGTCGCGTTTCCGATCCGGTGGTAGATTCTGCGAAGCACTGCTCTTGCTAGGGCCAGCGTTAGCAACACACCCGGTTTGAGCCCCGTGAGCTTACTTACACGTCAAGGAAAAGCTGAAATAGCCTCTCAAGGCTATCAGCATAGGTAGGGAAAAAAAATAAGAAGGTTCTAATTCCTTAAATTAATCATAACAATTAGTACAGTGGCATATCTATGTAAATCCCTTGCTAGTTAATATTAAATTTGTTTAATTAGTTTACTCATACAAAAGGCGCGAGCTAAGATAGGGCTATTTGGCATTTTTATGCTAATCAGCAGTAACACGATCCCCATTCTTTGGTAGTTCAATTAGAGACAGCGATAAACCCATACATTATCTAGTCATGACAACAATAGAAACATTACCCTTGGAGTAAAATTGTTAGTATAATATTTCAAGTAGGGCGAAAGAGTACCATGTGTGGAATCACAATAGTTTAAAAGTGAGTTTTTGTTCGAGTCACATGTGATAGGACAATGACGAATGAGGGCATTCTGTAAAAATTATGATATATTTAATAACTATTACATATAAATTGCTCATTTTAAATATCTCTTTGTGGTCTGAGAAGCGTTCATATATGTACATAAAATAATATATTTGAAGTGATTGATTTACAATTACATACAATAAGAAATGCTGTCGATTGAAAATAAAAGGTCAAGTAATTATTAATGTAGTTTAATTTCGTATTTCTTAATATTTCTTTCGTGAACGATTACAATTTATACATCTTATCGATACAATTCGAGTTATATAATACGTCACTACATATTCCATTATTTTTGGATAACCGACGAAAAAAAAAAATGAATTTCTCTGAATCGAAGCCGTCTCCAAATGGATTTCGTATACACATTTATTTTGATAGTATCCGATGTTTACTTATAGTTTAGATATAATATTTTGTATCGATATGTTTTGTTTCTAGATATGGTCGCTTATTTAAAAGACAAAAGGCAAACCCGTAAACTAAAGCGTAATTTGAATAATTCAGATTCGATTTGAGAAACAAATTTACCATTCGCCTTTTCTATATTAAAATGTTGCACGCAGGATAGATCTACATTATTAGATACGTAATAAGTTATTCAATTGCAATATGTTTTATAAAGATCAAATAATTTTTCATGCACGTAGAACTATCCCAAGTACGAAACGTAATCTTATTAAACAAATTAGACAAATTTACAATTATTGTTACGTTAATAATTTACAGTTCTTACGATAAATATATCACAGATTTTACAAAAACAAAATCGACACAAACAAACGGAAAAAAAAAACGTAATTTAAAATTTACAAACTCCTGAGCATTTCCAAGATTAGGTAGTTACTAAAATGTATTTAAATAATTTAGAACCAAACATTCATTGAATCATTTGTATTCTATACACCGTCAAATACACTATATTTACACAATTATTTATGTATATTATTACAATTGTATTTACATTACCCACACGGCCACCTACAAGGTATATTTTTATTTGCTTTTAGAACATGAATGTTCACTTCGATTCAATAAAATTTTTGCTATGTAGCTTGAAAATATTTTAAAGAAAGCCTTTTCAGGGTATCAATCTACTCATTTTTGACTTTATATTGTAAATTTCAAAAATGTTTAGTGGTTGCGTAAAATAATCTAGAACATAGTTATGAAACATGATTTTCACCATTAAAAATACTTTTATTATTTTGTTTAGTTTCCGAAAGTCGTAGACCCGATTAAATAAATAAATAAAAATACACTCATATCGTGTTTATTTACTTTTACCTTCATTCCATTGCTCATTGTTGGACCTTTTTAAGAAGTTGTCCAAAGTTTACTTGGACGCTAGTGGAGCTGTCTGAGCGTACTGCTGGGAACTGCAGGTCGGTAAGGAAAACGGATTCATACTGAACGGAGACGAGACGAGACCGCCCATTCCTGAGAACAAAGAAATAGTATATTTCAATCAAAGAACACGTAATCAAATATTCACGCATGCTCTTAATTTTCGTGCAATTGAAAAATCTAAACAAGCATTTGAAATGCAACTAAAACTTTCTTCGGTGATCGTTCATCTCGCTCGGCTATACCTTTCAGACTTCAGATAAATAATGATGACCAGTGTGCTTAGTGCGAGTTTCTTAACGTTCTCGATAGCGTAAAAGTTAACATAACTTTTTATGCAGTTGGAACAGCGCCCCTAGCGGCAAACGTAGGCAAATGTTTCAACTCCATACAAATTCGAGTTAACTTTTACGCTATCGAGAACGTTAAAAAACTCGCACTACGCACAGAGAAAAGCAACGTGACGTAAACAAAACAAAACAGAACGCTACTAACATTGAACTGCGAGATGGTGCCAACTCTGTAGGTGTACGTTGGGAACTCGCGGCGGGCTCTGTCTCACGACCGCAAAGGCGCTTCTAGACTTTTCCTCTTTATTTTGATGCCCTTTCATATCATTCGCGGCGCATTTCGAATGAGTGTTTGCCGGACAGTCGGCGCCTTTAGAAGCGTTCCTTTCAAAATGTCCGCTATCTCTCGTATTATACGCGTTATAGTGATGGTCAGAAGATAAATGTCCATTCATGTTGGCCGGGTGATACGGTCCGAGAGACACTGGTCGGTAAGAAAACATGGGGTTAACATAAAGCGACAAAAACGAACAGCGGTGCGGAGAAAGCGTTGCAAATGTGAAATCTTGTTTGTTTTGTTACAGCACGAGATAAGCTGAGTTGAAATGTTCACGTTCGTTGCGCGGAAAAGAATGAGAATTTTCTAAAGCAAAATCTACTTTAGCTGGCATGCTAATATAATAAAAATAAAAACATTAACTTTAGTGATTCGTTAACCGTAAAAATATTATATAGAGACTTGACTTGGTCTTAGATACGCCCCAATAAACTTTGCATGAATCCTTGATTTATTTTTAAAGATTATTTTTTTTATTATTGAAGGATTACTCGTGGCCCGGAGGCCTTTCCAGTTTCACCAGGACAGGTGGACGAGCAAAGGCTCAGCCAGGAAGGGTGGGATTTGCTAACATCTACCCGAGCGCCTCCGAAGGAGACCCAACAACTCAAGAGCATCTGTTTCTCGAATAAATCTACTACCGGATCGGAATCGCGACCCGCTGAGAAAATCCGGCGAGAAACTCAGCGAGCTGGTGCATGGGTTAGGTTGCACGTCGAACTCTTTGTCGAGTTCGACGAGTACGGTTACCGGATAAAGATATTTTATAATATATTAGATATTAATAAACTATCAAGTGATAAATGGTATTGTGACGGGTACATACCTACACGCCTACATACTTAAGATAATTTCAAACACAACTAATTGACTTTGAACATGCTGTGTTTTGTATTATAAAGTTCTTCTGACTAAGTTAGGGAGGGTGACGAACGAGTTTCATTTTATCGACTAATTACTAGTACCCACGTACTTCTAATACGTATTACCCTATTATCAAGTGAAATTAGTTGTTTCCTAATGTTATGGCATATTCTTCTTCGAATGAAATATCCCTCGTATCGATAATGTACATAGCGATAAAATTGAATATCTCAGACCGAATTGACAACTTTTTTTTGGTCAGTAGGAAATCGCAATCTCTAAACAAATATAAGCAATAAACAAATAAAAATAAAAAGCCGGACTTCTGCCATCCGCTGAGGATGGAGGACAGGGTATGTCGGAGTTGAACCGACTAAAAGTGTGCTATCGCTCAACAACCTACATTCGAACCTCGCATGAAACAGAACTCATGAAAAGGCAAAGGGAGGAAAGGGAAGCATTTAGTGCAAAGGGAAGTATCTTTCCCATCACACTTCTCCTCGGGACGCCGGACCGATGGTCGTCGGCGCCACGACCTACCAGCCCTCTCGGTATCAGTGATTAGGTAGGGATAAAAGAAGGTATCTACAGTGCGGACTTACAATTTTTATGTAGGTTATACATAAACCTAATATTTGTACGCTTTACTTGCAGGGCATAGTGATACATTTATTAATATTAAGCACCATCTTTGTTAACCTATGACCACATGTATAAAAAAAAAAAACAATATACAATACGGCCTACCACTGGAAATTACCTATCAGCGAGTTCAGTGGTAGGTATAATACTTGGAGAATGCTGCTGCCCATTCTCTGATCTATCCCTAAGTCAACTATTACATCACTCATGGGAATAAGCAGGTTTGTCACAGCCAAAAAAATCCACAGATTTTCGCTAAACTGTGTTAGTCAAGTAGTTGCCGTTACAGTTGGCTACCCTATTCTGCTTTATAAACAGTACATATATATTTTACAATTCAACAAAAAGAAAAGATGAATTTATTAATACGCTTTTATTAGCTTCAAACGTATGTATGTTTGTAATGGAATCTTTGAACATGATTTTGACCCCCTTCAAAACGTCAAATTAACTCGAAATTCGGTATACTTATTAAGGACCGATGACAATTAAAATATAAAAAAAAAATTGAAAAAATTTAAATTCAACTAAAAAATGGAAATAAATAATAGTTTAAAAAACTAACAAAATACGCTTTTATAGAAAATCCAACTAAAATTTAGAAAATAAATTTAATTAAATTATAATTAAAAGTATATCAGAATATTATCAAAATAACCCTTCTACTCATATGTGTTCATAAAATATTTGTATCTACTGATACCATGCACCCCACGCTTTTTTTTACAATAAAATATTTTTTTCTTACACTATTTTTAATTCAAATTTATTAAAATTTATTTTCAATTTTTTTGTTGGTATTTCTATAACAGCGTATTTTGTTAATTTTTTTAAACTATTATTTATTTGGTTTAAATGAAAAGTATTTTTTTTGTCAGCCTAATTCACAGTACTGTTTTATACGTCTGAGTACTCACGTGAGGTAGTATTGAATAGCGAGGTGGGAGGTGCGGGGTAGTGCTGTGGATGAGGGTAGGACGCGGGCGCGGCGTGCGGGGTAGACGCGGCGGAGCAGTACCGCGGCGAAACGGAGCCGCCACTACGCGCGTACTCTTCTAAAAGAAAAAGCCTAGGATCAACACAAAATTACAGTTAGGACCATTCGGTTTGTCAGTCAATAACTTTAATTGGAAGCCATTGTGGCCTAAAGGGTAAGACGACCGGTGTCCGGATTTTAAAAAAAATGAAATACGTACTTTATCAAATATTCACGATTGATTTTCACGGTGAAAGAATAACATCGTGTAAAATCGAACCCGCAAAATTATAATTTGCGTAATTACTGGCGGTAGGACGTCTTGTGAGTCCGGGTACGGGTAAGTACCACAACTCTGCTTATTTCTTCCGTGAAGCAGTAATGCGTTTCGGTTTGAAGAGTGGGGCGGCCGTTGTAACTAAACTGAGACCTTAGAACTCACATCTCAATGTAGGTGGCGGCATTTACGTTATAGATGTCTATGGGTTCTGGTAACCACTTAACACCAGGTGCTTCGTGAGCGAGTCCAATCACACAGGAAAAGAATTTTTTTTTTTTTAATTTGGTATTTGGTTTGGTAGTTGATATAATTATTGAGACCATTAAATATCAGTTTATTACGAAAGGATAGTAACATTGAAAGTTACATTATTCAAGAACCTAATACTTATTTGGAATACTATATAGTAATGGAATGCGAAAAATTAATCCGAATTAAATTCATCCTTTCGGAAGAAATTTGGTTATATTTAGAAACTTCACTCTCAGTAGGTACGGCCATTAAAAGTAAATCTATTTCATTTCCGTTCACGATTAAATATTTTCGAAACCCACCTTCGGTCCACTGCGATGCCGCAGTGTCCTGCACGCTGACCGCCAACTGTCCAGTATACGAGTTAAAAGGCATGCTGGCTGGAGGGGACCTTGGCGCTCCTAATCCAAGCTGATTGTTCCTTGGCATCGAATACAATGCTTCCGCTAAGTCAGCCGCTCGTTTTAGAATGATTTCCTAAGAGGAAAGAAAGGAAGATAATCAGAAAACAAATTGACGAAATAAAAAAAATAGGTAATAAGTCCAAACGCAAAATAGGACTTGAAATATTTTTTGTATTTATCTGGAGATAAAGTTGATGGATGCTCCAACTTAAGTGATGAAGGGTTTGTGAGCTTAAAACAATTATATTCATTAATTAAGAAATTAAAATTAAAATTGAATTTGAAAAAAAAAATTAATAAATTAATGTATTTATTTATTAAGTTGCACCAACGAAGTGATCATCAATACAAAACATTGACAAATTGACAAAAGTTCATGGCAGATGTCACCTCAATTATAGGTGCAATCGACAGCGCATTAACAACAACAACAAAAAAAAAAACTAAGATTTGATTACATTTGATTGATTACTTAAGATTAATTTATATTTAATTGGGAAATGATTCGCGACAAATTTTTCCTGTAAGTTGTGAGACTGTTAGAAAAAACATCTATTTCACTTAAATTTATATAGTATTTCAACTATAACGAAAAGCCATGTTATACTCAAGATAGGTTACCTTCGGCAGTTTTTCCGGGTCACCGGGATGTCTCGGTATAAGTTTCTGTAGCCTCTGGAATCCGTAATCTATCGTCGGTTCGTTGAGTGCTGCTATGCGAAAAACACAAAAACAAAATCAATCATTAGGTGGCCCGAACAAATGGAAGCCTAATTGATGGATCGTATAAGAGATGCGTAGAGTTTCCCTAATTACGTCTTGCTTTGAGGAAAAAGAAATTTGTAGATTATTATAATGATGTATTTCGAACTCCTACATTTTATTTCAATATTTATTTGATTTGATTACCAAACTATTCATCTTGGTTATTTACGTCATATCATGGCTATTTCTGTTTGGGATGGTATTCTAAATAGAGATCGCTTCATGTTGAGCAATTAACAAAGACGAAGCGGATTATTTATAAAAAAAACGGTATAGATCTATGAGTACTCTGAGGAATTGTTTGAGATGATTCTATCATCTCGTTTTTACCACCGCACCGCCCGCCACCGGAAAAGAGTTCATCCATACTACCTGGAGCTCCGTTACTCCGTTCATCCACAGTGCGCTTCCAGAGATCTTTTTTGCCACGTACTATCCGGCTTTGGAATGAGCTCCCCTCCATGGTGTTTCTTGTGGAGAGTACATAGCGGTAGGCAGCGGCTTGGCTCTGCCCCTGGCATTGCTGAAGTCCATGGGCGACGGTAACCACTCACCATCAGGTGGGCCGTATGCTCGTCTACCTACACGGGCAATAAAAAAATATGTCTAGAATTTCAATTTGTACTCACAAACATAAACAAATCTGCCGGGCGCTCCTTTACAGAATTGCTTGCTCTTGTATGATAATGTCACTTCAACTACCCCCGGTATGTGTCTTGGCGGTGTTTGAACTCGTATCGCGTGTGATGTTATTAACTATAGAAACAAATGTTAATTTTTATTTAAAAACACCTTCTAGAACTTTCAAGAGTTTCGCTAACTGTTAGATTACTTATTTAATTAAATTGCGTAATAATCGAAATGAGCTAGGAAAAAAACTGAATTTAAGATAAACATTCGAATATATTTTGTTAATGTCAAGTATTCCTAACCTCACTCCAGACTAGCATGGTTCCGAACACGACTTGCAATCCGTCGAAGAAGTTGTCTCCTACTATAATCACGGTGGAACCTCCTGACGTCCAGCCTTCGCTGGGCGAGATGGCCTTGATGCACGGCGTAGCGACCGGCAAAGGTGGATATAAGCCAGCTATGATAAGAGAAAAATAATAATTATTTACCAACAAGATCAGAAGATAATGATGAACTAATCATTTATTTGAAACGATTACGTGCGAAACATATATTAAAACTTCATTATTAAAAAAAAAACAATAATTGTTTCAACTTGTGTGACTTGGCTGCCAATCACAACCGCCCTACGAGAAGCTGAGGACTGGTGGAGGTGGAAACAGCTTACGAGACAGGCCACGATCACGTAACAGGGACACGACCTTCAGTAATGAAGAAAGCGATGAAGAGAAAAAGGTTTCAACTTGGCATTAAAACATACTTGTTGAATCTCAAAACATGCTATGTTTACGACCGGCTTAAAAAAATAGCCACGGTCTTGAGAAGAGCCGACGAAACTAGTTCACCGGACTAGTCTTTCTGTATAGTTAGATACTATGAATGGTATATGTTCTATTTCTTTTAAAAGTACATTGATCATTTTTGTCATTTAAAAAAATTAAAACTATAGTACAATGCTCTGGAACGAACACCTCATTCGCACATCATCCTGTATGACTATCCAAGAATTGTTTTATTTTCTATTAACATACTTAATGCTAAGGGTCTACAGGAGTTCATAAGTACCAATTACAACAAGAATATTATCATTTATGAGAACATGAGACACCAGGTCAAAGTATTATATATTGGAATTTTGATGGAGAGTTTTGTTGTATGAAAACATACAAGAAAAGTTACGAAGAGAGTTTTATTAAATATAATCTTTCTTCCGGAAAACTACGTCAGGGTTGTAAATGCCATCGTTTTAAACTTGGCCTGTGAAGAGGCGTACATCCCAACAACTGGAAAGTCGAATAAATGGCAAAACACCAAAACTCATTCCATCCTACTTATTTATTCGCTCCGAGTCGTTTCAGAAAAAGGACAATTGCATGCAGTAAAACTCGAAACAGACTATTTAACTCTAAGAAACATCGACGTGAAATTAAAACTAAGTTTTAAGTAATAGGCATAAAATTGATTTACGCTTGCACTTTCAAAGTCGTTGTGACGTTACGAATTTTACGAGGTGGTTGCAAGAAGGTTCTAGTGTGGGGGAGCGACGGCTCCGTAAGGGGGGCACAAATCTTACGAACAAAACGCCGTTGTAATAAAGAGAAGAGAAAGTGAATTTAAGGGGACGAAAGCAGATTATATCGGTGGTCCTTTTTAATTTGACTAATATTAAAATCCTCCTCTTTAAATTATAAAGGTAATATATATATTCGAGCAATTTAAGTTCGTGTGTAAATAAAGTACAGTTTTGCTGTCTGTTGTCATTTGGGAAACAATAGCTACGTTAAGAAAAATTTTATTCGTTTTGATTATTCCTAAATATCATATAAATTGCCAACTAAGTCGACACAGAAATATTTGATGAAAGCTGTCCTCAAATAAAAAAATACTTGGGATAAGTGATATGAAAACAATACTTATGGGAAACAGTCGAGTGCGCGTATAAAAGTTTTCTAAATTTTCTCATCCGCGCCGAGTAATCCTTCGCGTTGGTTTCACGCCGTCTAGTCTCCTTGAGAACTTTTACGCTAACTTTGTACGGAGATGATTATTTTAAATGTAGCTTGTCTATACGATGGTAAAAAATCGAACTTGACACATCAAAGATGATAGATGGAAATCTGGTAGGATGTGGTAAGAAACTGGTGGTAGGAACTTTTTTGAGTCCGCACGCGTAGGTACCACTACCCCGCCTTTTTCTCCCGTGAAGCAGTAATGCGTTTCGGCTTGAAGGGTGGGCAGCCGTTGTAACTATACTTGAGACCTTAGAACTTATATCTCAAGGTGGGTGGCACACTTACGTTGTAGATGTCTATGGGCTCTAGTAACCACTTAACACCGGGTGAGCTCGTCCACCCATCTAAGCAATAAAAATAGGTAGTAAGCAATAACCAATAAAAATAAACTATTTTCTATTACTGACACCACTTCGAATATAATCCATTGTATTACTTAAACATTGTTTTTCTCAAACGCGGATTAAAGCAGTTGACTGTTTCGAAATCTCAATAATTTTTTATTCACTATCCTAAATAGATTTTTTGGTGTGTTCGTAATTTGATTTTTTTTTTCAATTTTTACATTTTTCGACTTTGTGCATTTGTTTTTGTAACCACATGTAAGATTTCTGGTGTAGCATATAAACGATGGGACATTAAACATTTCACGAGTTATCCACAGGTTAACATTAACGGTACATACAAATATTTTGATTTTCTTCTTAAAATTTCGTAAAACGCAATTATATCTGTTCAATTCCCGTTACGCCTTAGGTATTCAAAATAAAATTATGTTTCTATTATTCCTAATTTAAATTAAATTAAATTTAAAATTGGAAGACGTATGGAAAAAATGTTGAACCCAATTATTATTTACGCTTAGTAAGACTCACATTCTTATACGATTTGATGAACAATTAACAAAACGCAAAAAAGTCTGCTTCCTCACTAAATTACCTATTTTCGGTTCATGTTCGTTTCGCCCACCCCCGCGTAACCGCCCCCCGCCTGAAGTTCTTTGCGAAATGTCTACAGTGATTCCTTGAATACAAACGACATCTTAAAACGGCCGGATTATGACTTTTGCACATTTTTATCGTCAATTGACTGCTAAATTCAACACGTAGTTCGGGCGAAAATTGATGACTACTACGAAACAGTATTTTTAATAAACCATTTTATTTCGGATTAATTCTTGATCAAACGCAATCGAAATTGACAAAAGATTTGTAATGATTTCAACAGTGAAAGAATCGTCAAAAAAGGTTTCAATCAAATTGTGAAGAAAAAAATGAACCAATCTCAGATTGTTTAATGTAAAGTATACATAGTTAGTTTTCAAAACTACCTGTAAAATAGATTAGGTATATAACATCTTTTAACTTATCGATGTACATATGCAAATGTTTGAGTATATACATATAATGTGTGGTATTTATATTATAAACAATACACATATGTTTTCATAATAAAAATGAAAATTATTCGTTAGAAGGTAAATTAAAAACCAAAAAAAAAAACAGGTTGGAACCTTGTAACAAATGCTAGAATTAGATATCCATCTCTAATTTTTTTTAGGAAGGAAGAGCATCTCTAGTGTTTGTCAAGCGCTAAATTACGATGAATAAAACTATTCAAAAGTATAATAAAAATAAATGTTTTGGATTAAAAAATTTAAAAAAAACAAACAAAAACAAAACAAAAAAACGTACAGTGAGTCTCGGGCGCGGCGTCAGTACCTTCAGTGGGATCGAGCCTTTTCGCTCTGCGGCCGTGCTTGCTGTTGTTGTGGACAAACATGTTGTCCGATATCGCTAGCAACGGCCCGTCCACCATCACTTGCGTTGATATTACTACCTGTTGAAAAAATATCGTTCCGTAAATAAATATTTTTTTTTAATGCTCGTGTAGACAGACGAGCATACAGCCCACCTGATGGTGAGTGGTTACCGTCGCTCATGGATTTCAGCAATGCCAGGGGCAGAGCCAAGCCGCTGCCTACCGTTAAGTAGTATCCACAAGCGGGAAACACCGTGGAGGGGAGCTCATTCCAAAGCCGGATGGTACGTGGCAAAAAAGTTCTCTGGAAGCGCACTGTGGATGAATTCAGTGGCTCCAGGTAGTATGGATGAACTTTACTCCGGTAAATATCTGGTAATAGAAATAACAACAGCTATGGTTTTGCCTTTTCTTGAGTGTTTTTGTGTACACACTGTTAGTAGGCCGTATTGAGAGTCAGATCAAGTTTCACTATGTTAAACTGTGGCTATTAATGTACACATTCGAGGTTTCGACCATGTCTTCATGTCTCAAAATGGGACATTTTATAATACACGACACCTTATTCTTAGGCTCCGGTAACCATTTAACTTATGTTACCTGATGGTGACCCTTGAACTTCTCGATAAAACTGAAATCAGACGTTTTAGGGAATGACCTAATTGATAACAATAATGGTGAAAGCATCATACATAATTCTAAAACTATCAGAAAATGAAAGGTATCTTAAACTTAATTCTTAGAAACGATCTTTATGCTGATAATTTTACGGCAATTCAAAGTTTTACGCTATACGATATCCTAAAGTAGTTTTAACCTAATTTGAATTTTACTCACAAACCCAACACCATTCAAGGTGACACATCTAAAATAAAACGCATCAAGGCAAAAATATTCACCCGTCGAACATACATAGGATTCCGACGCACACATACCAAAGGGAAGGAAAGGGAGAGTCCCTGGGGAGGTGGAGCCGTCTTGAGACGCAAAATGGACGAAACTCTTCCAATAGGTGTGCAAGGAAATGCATTGTGTGCACATATCGAGTATGTGGGTGGTCTATTACAAAACTGCCAATGCTTCCTCACATGTTTTTGACTCGTTAATTGAATTAATTTCAATTTTTTTACTCACTAATTTCATTAGACCGAAGCTTCAATTAATTGAATAAAAAATATTACGCTCCCCCTTTGGAGATGATTATTTTGCAGATAGGGTAGGTATGATAAGGAAGTAGATATTTGTACCGACTTGTGTTTGTGAATACTCAATATAGGAAACTCCCGAGATTAGGATAGGTAGTTACGAAAATAATTATTTTACTAATAAGTGAAATAGTAGCAAATCGAGATGGCCGGGGTCAAATAACTGCATCTCCCCATTTACCAAATTTGGTCTTATAGCTTTTTACACTGTTACTGCAAATTTTAGTAATGTTATTTCAGTTATATTTCACTGAAGTGTTTTCTAACACATTCCGCTGTAGTAAAATTTTCACTGCGTACTAAACTAACCAGGGTTACTAACCTTTCGTTTTTAAGATTCTGTATGGTTCATATTTATCAATATCATATGGAACAATTTAAGAAGACAGATACAAAAAAAAAATTGAAAGTTCTATCACTACGATATGTGAAAAATAAAGTGAAAAAAAAAATGTATATTAAAAAAATTCCAGCTTTAAGGAGAATTTTTATACAATGTGATTTTATCTTTCTGAAAGGTAACTGTTACTTTAAAATATGAGAGAGTTGTATTAAATACTTTTACTTTTACTACTAATTCTACTACAAATCGTTCTTACAGCCGGCTATCTTCGTACATATAAATATACCCACGAAACCATAGACATATATTCTTACCCTTGAAACATTGGGGAACGACCACTGAATTATTCAATGACACACAGAAACCCAAATATAGACATAACCACACACACAGACGCGGTCACCCCTCTGCAGACAGTCCTTAAAACTATAGAAGAAATACATATATAAGAACAAGTAAGATTAAGCATCTATTTTATTTCGACTTAGAATCATGATTGTCTTACAAATTCAATTTTGCAGAACGTAATTATTACAGATTTAAATCCAAAGGGATGTGATTTTTTAATAATAATACTTACATATATATTATGTTCATTTTTAATGAAAATTAAATGTTTTTCTATTCGTATGTGGAATGTTTTTATTGATGTACATTTCTTAAATATTTTTTTCACTATTGGTATCTATTTATGTATATATTACATCCCCAAGCCCTGAGAAGTAAAATGCAAATATCCAATTCTTGTAGAAATCGTTATCCTTAAAACTGGAAAACATTACAGTTTTACGATCCACGCAGAATTAATTCACACGGAGAGTCCTTGTTCCAGCAAACTTAGTAAATACGTTATAAACAATTTTATTAACAACACGTATTTGAAGTATGAGCATCTTAATGAATACGTAAAACATTCTTCCAAAAGAAATAATAATCAAACTAAAAGCTACGAAAGAACACAACAAAGTGACTTGATACACACCATCAATATTAAGCCAAAGTTAGTGTGAGGACAAGTAAGATAAATACTGTTTCAGCAAAGTTACTGAAGGGAAATTTATACTCATAAACGGAATGCACCATCTATGAGAATCGTTAGGGTTGCGACTAATTAAAGTATTTCTAAATTATAATTTTTTAAGTTGATTCTGTTTTTGATGTCGGTTCAGCCTTTAATACCAATAATTAGGGCCATTTAAATTTAATTTCACCCAACACTGTTATATTACCTCTCAGTTCAATGCATTCGTGTTTATTTGTAATTAAACCGATTTAAATTAATAAAAGTCGACGTTATATACTACTTGAAATACATATAGTAAGCATTTCAAGAAGCCAAAACAGGGCCTAAAATACGGTTGAGTATTAATACTAGTAAAATCAAAGATGAAACGCCACAAAAACAAAAGCAGATCAGTTGCAAAGTAAGTAAATAAAGACGTATAAATAAATTTAATTTCACCCCTTCGTAAATTGGAGGCGCTTCAAATATTCAAAAGTCGTGAACGTAACTCTTCCTACTGTTAAGGGCGGTTCAATGAAACCTTTGTTCTAAGTTACAAGCTTAACGATTCCTTTTTTTTTACAATTCAACTTAACTCTACTTTTATCATATAATTGATGATTTCAAACAAAATTCGGCAGTAAATGTAGCGAGGTTAATGTTTTTATCCTTAAAATAGTGTATAATAAACAAATGCTTAGAAACCAAATTAAAACCTGAACAAGTTACTTTGACATTCGCTTTGTTTTCGGTAAATTGAAATTTTTATATATTTATGTTATTTCATTGGCGCGTGTAATTAACAAAATATTTAGTCCACGCGCATTAAAAAGGATTAAAATGTAAATTTTTCAATGAATCTTAAGACTAGTTTAACTGTCAAAATGTATTTATATATTTTATTAAATATATTTAAATATTTTGATAGATTGATAGATTATTTGTCAGCGATTCTTAAATTTTATTAGATAAAACATCTAAGCAAAACTTACTTGAAATCTTCTCATGTCTCTCGGATTGCCAGCGTTCTTCAAACAATTCTGGTTGCATTTCAGGAAGAATTTGAGAAAAAACCTTGAACAAAAATGGTAAAATTAGGACGACGGAGCTTAAGAAATTGGTTTTCGATTAATTTTAGTATTAACAAAAAAAATTGGCCGTCGACGATAAGCTATGACTGTTTGGAGATTACGAACAGAATTTTTGAAGGTATTAACAGCATTTCTAGATCCATCTTGAGGGTTCGTACAATGATGCTTCAGTTTGGAAATTCAACACCCGGTAAAACGTGTGTAATTTGTCAACATAAAATACGTAGTTGCGTTCATAAAGTAGGGTTCGTACAGTGTGAACAGATAATGTTGACAGAAACGATGCGGACGCATAAATCAGAGGTTACGTTATTGGAAATTAACGAAGTGCTTCCTGCGAAAATTGGGTTTTGATAATGGTGTTTTTACAACACTATTTTGGTTAATTTGTTTCATTTTTAAAACTGGATTTTAAAAAAAAAAGTTCTTTATGGTTCCTTTAGAAACCTCTAATCTGTGAACTACATGAGTACTAACTAAAGATAGTCAACATTCATATTCAAGAACTACTTTTTTATTTATTGCTTACATGGGTAGACGAGCTCACAGCCCACCTGGTGTTAAGTGGTTACTGGAGCCCATTGACATCTACGACGTAAATGCGCCACCCACCTTGAGATATAAGTTCTAAGTTCTCAATTATAGTTACAACGGCTGCCCCACCCTTCAAACCGAAACGTATTACTGCTTCACGGCAGAAATAGGCAGGGTGGTGGAGGCGCGGACTCACAAGAGGTCCTACCGCCAGTATAAAACTACACTATTACTACATATAGATCTAATTACGAAAATACCTATTAGCAATTAATTATGTTGATCCCAGTTTCTTTGGTTCATTTTTAATAAAGCATGTTTTTGCTACAGCAAATTATTAACAAAAAAATCAACAAATCGCTACAAGCAGATACACCAGATGTTTCTACTTGACTTCAAACAGACTGGCGCTCAGTCACTATTAATTTATTATTTGTGCTCTAAAATTTGTCCTTTCCGCTGTTTCGGTAAGTCTAATAAGTTTTTTGTTTATTTTTTTGTTAGTATTGAACCAAATGTGTGAATTTTATTTGGATTTTATTTGTTTCTTTACGTAAAGTAACGTTTTGACGAGAACGTGATTTTTTTCAATTTTTAGCATTATGGATTTTAGTTTTACACGTAAATTAGTTTCCGTTATGTAACAGTTTGATGAAAACTACACGAATTGAGAAAACAATGGAAAATGTGTTTAATTCGGGTAGAAATAAGGGAACATATAAAGTACTAGCGACCCGCCCTCGCTTCGCTTCGGAAACATTAAAACACACATGAAACAAGAAAAATAAATTTTTTTTTTTTTTAAAGTAGCCTATTTACATCAGGGACAATGTCGGCTTCTAATGGAAAAATAATTTTTCAAATCGGTCCAGTAGTTTCGGAGCCTATTCGAAACAAACAAACAAACAAACAAATCTTTCCTCTTTATAATATTAAGTATAGATGTGTAAAAAATTTGATAAAAGTTCTAAATAATTATATAAATTAGATTATTTGCCATCATAAAAACGTGATATGAAGTCGTTATAGGTTTTCGAAATAAATCTGTTATGTAATACTTTCAGAATAACTATCAGATAGTCCATTAGAAATTTAGTAGTTGTATGGATTTTACGATTTCGGTGTGTTTCAACTAATTTTAGGTTGTATTGGTTTGATTTTAAGTGGGTATATTAAGCTTTGCGAAAGCACAGAGTAGAGAACGCGATCAGACATGCGATCACGATGAATGCTTTTGCAGAAATATTTTACATAGCCCGAGGCATCGCTAAAGCTGCCGACGAATATTGCCGTGCCAACACATTTGTATTCAATAGAGTAGATACAATCTTTTTTTTTTGTTTTTGTCGCCATAACAGTCACTAATATTTTTACGCGATTTATTTTATTGCCTTAAATTGTTTTTTGTTTTTATGATAAAATATAATGTTATAGATATAATATGTTATAGATACAGCTTAAATTATTTATCATTCCTTATTGTATTTATTTTATCACTTAATTTTTGCATACGTCATCTTTTTGAGATATAAATCGTTATTACCGTATCATAAAAAAATTCTAAACTCAAATCGATGATGTATAATTTTAAGAGAGAACTTAATCTGCTTTAGAATACACCATTAATTTAAGCACGTTTTTACCTCAAATTACCCATTTTGCTCACGACCACCTCTATATAAATCCGACAAACGACGTACGGCGAACGTATTTGCCGTGCCGCGGGCACAACACATCTGTTGCCGCTCTCTCCGCATTATTTATGTTAAACACCTTATGTCACAATATCGCGAGTTACGAGTTTGAGCCTCCGTCATGCGAACCGTATGAATGAAATTTTTATTGTACTACAAAATACTACGCGTGGAAGATTCATTTATCAGAAACGAGCAATAAAAACCGAAACGTCGAAACTGGGACTTTAATACGTAGAAAAGTGGTGGTAGGACTGGTGGTGGGACCTTTTGTGAGTCCGCACGGGTAGGTACCACCACCCTGCCTATTTCTGCCGTGAAGCAGTAATGCGCTTCGGTTTGAAGGGTGGGGCAGCCGTTGTAACTATACTGAGATGCACATCACAATTACAAATTTTGTCAATAAAAATATTGATATTAATCTTTATACTTTCGTCGTGCTGGGGTTTATAATAAGAAATCAACTTTAAGCAGAATACAGAACGCCGATAGCCCTATAGACAAGATATCTCACATGGATAGAAATAAGATAAAAACAACTCTAAAATCTTTATGTTAATTTCTATAGATTTGAAGTGGGTGATGGCTTTTACGTTATTGATGTCTATCGATTCCGATAACCACTTAAAGCCAGATGAGCCGTGAGCTCGACCATTTATAATCTAAGCAATAAAAAAATCATTTTGAATTTATTATTTTCTAAGCAATAAAAAAATAAAAAAAAAGTGTGTGTGTCCGCTCCGACGCACGACTGGAGTTTACTGGATATAAAAAATTAAACGAAACAATACGAGAAATAGTTCTATATTACGACAACACGATACACTACAGATTATTAACAAATTAACGAGACACAAAACAAACGACTAACAAATATATGAAAATACAATAATGAGAGAAACGCGCGATCAGTACGAGGCTTTGTGGCGGACTGCCGGCGCAGCAGCCCGGCGTCACCTGCGATAACGCGGCCGCGCGTTGGCTCCTGATTGGCGCGCGCACGCATCACGCAATCAGGAGCCAATCAGGCGCATAACGCATTTCGTGTGACATGCTAGTACGATTTTGGTCCCCATAATTTTCATACCCCGGGCCTATATATGTAAATCGATTCTAAAGGAGTAAACTCCAATAATTTTCAATTCATTATTTTCTTCTCTTTACTTTAATTTATTTATTGATATTAAATAGACCTTTAGGAGGGAGTATTGAGTGCTCCTTACAAGTGTGAGTGGTAAGACGAAAAATTATGGCCGTCTCTTATAAAGAATCTGTTTGTCTGACACAACTTTGAAGAGTTGTATTTTGGATAATTCACACTAAACATGTATATGTGTTATTCTGATGTGTAAGCTATGTTATTATAAAGTTTCATCAAAATACATTCAGTAATTTTTGCGTGAAAGACTAACAAACATACATTCTTATAAACTTTTGGGCGATTATAATATTAGTAGGATATATTTGTTAATGTTAGCTTTATGCTTTATATATTTTTTACTTTGATAAATCGAGTAAACTATTGAGTCCGCATCGACGCGGTCGGTTTCTTTCAAGTCAGAGCACTTACGTCACCCACCCACTACGCTAGTAGGTATTACTCGAGCCATACGCTATTTTTATTTGCATTTGAATAAAACTTCTTCTGAATTTTGTTACGAATGTTTTGTTCGGAGCCAATTTTAAGGCGAAAATGTTTGCATTGCCTTCGTATTTAAAGGCGAGATTACATTATTTGGATTGTCGGTTAATTTATTTGAGTTGATGTAGATATTTATGTAGGTAAATTATAAAACGTACTTGACCATTTTGATTTCTGTTGGTCGGTTGGCATTTGATAGGTTTTTTATGATTAAAATATGAGGAAAAAAAAATTATTTCATTGAGAACACGAGAAACGTGTTTTGGAAACAATCAAATCAAAAGGAACCTAATTTTTTTTTTCTCATGTAGAGTTTCGTAAAAATTCTGTATGGTCTTAGTCGCAAAAACGACTGTTGACTTTCGCGCTAGAACACCTATGCCACCCCCCACCCCCCACCCCATACTACTGATCTGACGCATGAACTTTCCCGCTTTGAATTTCTTGAACATTCCTGTGATATTATTCAATAAATATCACTAATAACGTCATTCATTGAATAAATTCATAATTGATTTATGACTAGAACATAATTAGGTACTTTTTGAATCACAATAAATTATTACATGTTGAACTTACTAAGGAATGCTGTACACTTGGTTGGTTATTCTTCAAAGTTGAAAAATAAAATCACTCGTTAACTGAACAATAAAATCGACTTCTAAAGTACATATTGAAAGTTTCACGATTATCTTTAATTGCATTTTTGGTCTTAAAAACAAAGGAACTAAAACTGTAACTGTCTATTTTTATGAAAAAATATTAAAAAAAACAATTATTACTTAATCAAAGAAATTATAATTTTTTTTATTGCTTAGTTGGGTGGACGAGCTCACAGCCCGTCCGGTGTTAAGTGGTTACTGGAGCCCATAGACATCTACAACGTAAAAGCGCCGTCCACCTTGAGATATAAGTTCTAAGGTCTCAGTATAGTTACAACGGCTGCCCCACCCTTCAAACCGAAACGCATTACTGCTTCACGGCAGAAATAGGCAGGGCGGTGGTACCTACCCGAGCGGACTCACAAGAGGTCCAATCACCAGTTTACTACAATTGCATTGGGTAAGCGATGTTGATGCGTGCACTTAAAACCTTGCTAATAAAAAAGTCCGC